ATGTGTGAATTTCAAACAGGCAATATTCCCACTTATGGAAGAAAATAATTTTAAACACATTAAGAGCTTTCTACTTCATAATGATAATCATTTTCTAAAAAGAGAGGAGGGAACTCTTATTGATCTAGTACACGTTAAATACCACGTGAGGTACTTTATCTTACATAGTCCTATTATCTTACATAGTCTTCACAACTCACCCACGCAGGTACAAACTAACCCAATTTTAATTTTTTTATTTTTAAATATATTTTTATTGATTTCAGAGAGATAGAAACATCAATGATAAGAGAGAATCTGATTGGCTGTCTCCTGCACGCCCCCTACGGGGGATTGAGCCCACAACCTGGACATATGCCTTTGACTGGAATCGAACCTGGAACCCTTCAGTTTGCAGGCCAATGCTCTATCCACTGAGCTAAACCAGCTAGGGCCAAGCTAACTCAATTTTATAGATGAGGAATCTGAGCCTTGTCCAAAGCAACCTAGGTAGAAAGAACATGGGAGGCAGAGAGGTCTGATTTCAGAGTCTGTAATTTCATTCTCTACCACAGTCTCAACTAAAATGTGATGAATAAGTAATTAGACCTCATTCCAGTTTTCAGTGATATGGAATATGATTTTAACTTTTTTTATTCAGAAAGCTTACTTCACACCTTATGTGAGAGAGACTTAGAGATGTCTGCTCAAGGCTCACAGCCATCAAGCTGAATGGGTTCTAATGGCAAATGGAACAATCCCCTGACAGGGAGGAGCCCTTCCTCTCTGGGCTCCTTCCCTAACCATCTCTCTCAACCCCCATCAGGGCCCAGATCCTCCTCCTCTGCCCACGTCCTTCATGATGACACTCCTCTTCACTTCAGATGCTCTCTGCCCTCCGTAGGCAATCTCTTCTATGCCCTTGGCTCAGGGGTGGGCAAACTTTTTGACTCGAGGGCCACAATGGTTTCTTAAACTGGACCGGAGGGCCGGAACAAAAGCATGGATGGAGTGTTTGTGTGAACTAATATAAATTCAAAGTAAACATCATTACATAAAAAGGTACGGTCTTTTTTTTCAATAGTTTTATTCATTTCAAACGGGCCGGATCCGGCCCGGGGGCCGTAGTTTGCCCACGGCTGCCTTGGCTTCACCATCCCTTAAACTACCTGCAGCTCACACCTCTGCAGTTCTTCAGAAGTAATTTGCATAGATAGCTTGCTGAGCTCTCCAATGCAATCAACCAAAGGTTGATTGTTATAAGCTTAAATAGTGTGCATATTAACTCATTTTCCTGATCCACCCTTCCCTAAACATTCCGTTCCTTCTTCCTCCTGTATTCTGTGTCTTGGCACCACCACCTGCCCAACGAATCCGGTGAGAAATCATGGAGTCATTTTGGACTTCCCCCAGTTATATCCAGTAAGCCTTGAGGCCTTCTCATCAACCGCTCTCAAATGCATCCATTGTTCTCTTCTCCTTCAGCCAGTGTCTTGGTTAGTTGTGGCACTCACCACCCAGACCCTGGACCATTGGCAGCAGGTGGTCTCTGGCCTCCAAAGCCCCTGCCAGTGTGCACCCCCACCTCTAGCTGCTGTAGCTAACGCTCCATTAAGTAAAATGTTTTACCTCCTTCTCCAACTTAAAGCCTTTTTCTGGTGTCTTCGTGCCTGCAGGATAATAGCATAAAGGCTCTACACATTCCACCTGCCCCACTGTACACTCCAACATTAAACTCCATCATTAAGCTACTTCAAGTTTCCAGAATATAGCTACTTTAGCCCTCTCTGCCTTGGTAAACGTGCCTCCACCCAATTGCCTTGCTGACTTCTAATTATTGCCTTTTCAGGAAACTAGACTGGTTAGTCCTGAGGGGTCCATCTTCTTTGAGACGCTTCCCTTTCTTTTAAACATAAAAAGCTTTATGATGTCTGTAACTTATTTTCAAAGAATTCATTTTAAAAGAACACAATATAGCCCTAGCTGGTTTGGCTCAGTGGATAGAATGTTGGCCTGCAGACTGAAGGGTCCTGGGTTCGATTCTGGTCAAGGGTACATGCCCGGGTTGCAAGCTCAATCCCCAGATCGGTGTGCAGGAGGCAGCCGATCAATGATTCTCTCTCGTCATTGATGTTTCTATCTCCCTCTCCCTTCCCCTCTCTGAAATCAATTAAAAATAAATAATTAAATAAAAGAGCATAATATACAGAGAGATACATAAAGTGTGGAAAAATGTTAACTGATAAAAAAAAATGTGAGTATTCTTTGTACTAATTGTTCAACTCTGCATATTTGAAAAATTTTCCAAATAAAACATTCAGGGAAAATGCTAAGAACACAACCAAAATTAAAATAAATATTTTGAAATTTGAAAGGCACAGTCATCCCTCACAAATTTGCTCTCCTCGTTGACCAACCATCACAACTGTTGGTTTTTATTTGCCTAAATGGTATCATATCACACTTGAGAAACTTAGGCAAATAAAAGTCTGCTTCCTAATTGGTACATGTAATTCCTTGAGATCAACCATTGAAGATTTTCATCTGGGAAAATTTTCAGTGCTAAGGAAGCAAGAAAGGTTGGTGGAAGTAGTCTTGCTTTAGTCCTTTCAGAATTGCCAACTCTCTAGTAAGAGCTAGTTAATTTTGCTGTGAAGGTGATAAAAATTTAGCCCTTCTCTTAAATTTCTATTATATTCAGAGGGAAGTTAAGAAAAACAATAATTTATCACCTTTATTTAATATAGTTAATGAATTCCCAGCAGGTGTGGCTCAGTGGTTGAGCATTGACCTATGAATCAGGAGGTCACAGTTTGAGTCCCAGTCAGGGCACATGCTGGGTTATGGCCTCGATCCCCAGGAGCAGACGTGCAGGAGACAGCTGATCAATGGTTCTCTTTCATCATTGATGTTTCTATCTCTCTCTCCCTCTCCTTCCTCTCCAAAATCAACAAAAATATGTTAAAAAAAATAGTTAATGAACCTATTTTATTAGATAGTCTAATGTGCCCAAGAGAATTGAAAATATATAGCTATAAAAACAAAAAAAAAGAAAGAAAAAAAAACCAGAAAACATATGGCTACACAAAATCTTGTACATGGCTATTCACAGCAGCATCCTATATAATAAAGAAGTGATAGCAAATTAACCCTCACACCCTCACAAGAAGGCTGCCTATAACCAGGCCGGCAGGGTGGTTAGTGAGGGACTACCAAATGACTGAACAAGCAGGCTGCATGGGGCAATTAGGCTGGCAGGAAGGGCAGTGAGGGGCAACTAGGCCGGTGGGGGGGCAGTTGGGGGTGACCCGGCCAGCGGGGGGGGGGGGGGGCAGGTAGGGGCAACCAGGCGGTCAGGCAGGTGAGTGATTAGGAGCCGGCAGTCCAGGATTGTGAGAGGGATGTCCGATCCTGGGGATCGGACTTAAACCAGCAGTTGGACATCCCCCAAGGGGTCCTGGATTAGAGAGGGTGCAGGCTGGGCTGAGGGGACTCCCTCACCCCCTGCACGAATTTCATGCACTGAGCCTCTAGTTATTTATAACAGCCAAAAAGTAGAGACAATACAAATGTCTATCAACTGATGGATAAACAATGAGACATTAGTCATAGAAAGGAATTAAATACTGATACATGACACAACACAGATGAAAATATTATGCTAAGTAAAGAAACCAGACACAAAGGCCACATAATATATAATTTCATTTATATAAAATGGCAAGAACAAAGAGTTTATTAGTGTTTGCCTGGAGCTAGGGATAGAGGGGTCAGGAATAGGGAATTATTGCTAATGAGCACAGGGTTCTTCTGGGGGTGACAAAAATGTTCTGGAATTAGATGGTGGAGATGGTGGTAGAACTTTGTGAATATATTAAGAAACACTGAATTGTGCACTTTAAATGGATGAATACTATGGTATGTGAATTATATCTTAATTGTATTTTAAAAAGTTAACATAGGCCCTAACCGGTTTGGCTCAGTGGATAGAGCGTCGGCCTTCGGACTGAAAGGTCCCAGGTTTGATTCCGGTCAAAGGCATGTACCTTGGTTGCGGGCACATCCCCAGTAGGAGGTGTGCAGGAGGCAGCTGATCGATGTTTCTCTCTCATCTATTCTAACTCTCTATCCCTCTCTCTTCCTCTCTGTAAAAAATCAATAAAATATATTAAAAAAAAAAAAAAAAGTTAACATAGCCCCAGCTGGTTTGGCTCAGTGGATAGAGCATCAGCCTGGGGACTGAAGGGTCCTGGGTTTGATTCCGGTCAAGGGCACATGCCTCGGTTGTGGGCTTGATCCCCAGTAGGGGGCATGCAGGAGGCAGCCAATCAATGATTCTCTCTCATCATTGATGTTTTTCTCTCTCTCTCCCTCCCTCTCCCTTCCTCTCTGAAATCAATAAAGATATATTTTTAAAAAGTTAACATAAAGCAATTTTATGGAACACTCCAAGGGGAACCTAAGGGCTTGCTGGGTTTGATTGCACCTTTGGTCTCCAACTCACCACTGGCCAGAGTAAAGAGGGGCCCCAGACGCTGCAGGGTGCTGTGCACCCTCCTCCCTATCACCCTCACAGGGTCATCGTAGGGGCAATCTCAGCAGACCCCACATTCCCACTCACCACCAGAATCCCAGTACAGTCTTCGTGCAAATCTCATACCCCATCTCTTCTTCATTGTCCTTCACTGTATTGTCCTGTACTGTCATTCAATATTTGGGATTGTTCATTGCTTTATCTCACCTGTATCTAAACAGTGCTGAGCCAACAGTAGGTGCTTAATAAATTTCTAATGGATAAATAAAAGTTTACACAGAAATTTGCACTGAATATTAATTAAAATATGACTCTAGGCTGTAAAATGTTTCTTCTCCCATAAGACTTTCTCCTCCATTTAAATAGGTATCTAATTTTTAAGAAATCTTGCACAAATGGTATTTTATTATAGATAATAAAGTTTATGAATCTTTATACATGTTAAAACATTCAGGCATCATAAACATAACTATTTCAATATTCAAAATTCAAATTTACAACAAGAAATTTATTTTTAGACTGTGGTTATTGCTGCGCCAACTTTATAATTCCTTATTCAGAGTCAAAAATGTAGGCAAGCCCTAGAAATGTAGCAGAAGCATTTCCGCACACTGGATCCATAATCTAGATTGTGAGAAGTGTTTCCGCTAGATTCATAGGGCACTCTATGGAAGAAAGAGGCCAGGACTGCTCATCTGGTTGCCCTTCGGACCTTCTGCAACTCTTCAATGGGTTTCCATTGTTGGTTGACTGTTATAAGCTTAAATAAAAAAGCAAAATAAAGCATTTCGTTAGGATCTGTCCTTCATCCTTACATCCCCCTTTGGGATTTGTCCACACTCGTCTTTAGAAAAAGCATCACCTTAGCATTTGTAGCCAAACAATCACCTCCTCTTCCCATCTCTAAAGCATGGACAAAACAGTAATATGGGTTGGTTTCTATCACACTAAACCTCCAAAAAGCCCTTGGGTTCCTGAGTGTTACAGGATAAGAGAGAAAGGTCTTATCTATCCACCCCCTTTCATTTAACACGATCTAGATTTTTAAATTTCCCATGGTTTTATAAGTTTACAAAGTAATCTGCTCCCTGTGTGTGGATGTGTAATGCTCCTAGCACAGGGTGTGGCAAAAATTCCTCATTGTAATTACTCAACTAAAGGACTCACATTCAGAGATTCTCATTTACCCTCACAATTCTTCTATTATCCCAGGACCTAGGCGATGCAGGTAGTTTTAAAAGATCCTAAGTGTCCTCACCAGGTCAAACTGTGTTATTTGAAAGTTTTGTTTAAAAATAAAATAGCTTTCCTGACAGTCCTAAATAGTGTTCAATCTAACAGATTAAATGTTTCTCACTTCCAAAATATTTAAAATGTAAAAAGTATTTGCAATAGTCTCAAAAAGGTAAGTGAATATTAGCTACTTTTGCTTAAAATGCAATTTCTGTTTCCAGGAACTCCTGTAATGGGCCATAATAGACCTAATATTAACTTTAGATAAATAATGGGAAAAGTGAGATATTAATATATGGGCCAGGCATGGTGCTAAAGGACTCTCTGTATTTTATCTTCTTTAATCCTCTTAACCCTGTTATTGTACCCATTTTATAGATTCTGAGAGCCTCAGAGAGGCCAAGTTGTCTAAATCACCTGTGAAGCTCAGCTGGTGTGGCTCAGTGGTTGAGCGGCGACACATGAGCCAGGAGGTTATGGTTTGATTCCCAGTCAGGGCACATGTCCCGGTTGTGGGGTCGATCCCCAGTAGGGGGCGTGCAGGAGGCAGCTGATCAATGATTCTCTCTAATCACTGATGTTCCTATCTCCCTCTCCCTTTTGCTCTCTGCAATAAAAAAATATATATTTTAAAAAATAAAATTGCCTGTGAATAATGAGCAAGAGTCTGAACTAGATCTCTACAACTCTGTAACACTCTCTAACACTGCATACACCAAATGGCACCCTAAAAGTGAAAGGTTTAAAACCTATTTTGCTGACAATGATGCTAAGGCTTGGCTAAATGTAAATCACTTTTTAATGCGGCAATTACCTTTCCAGGTACATTGGGATCCACATTTTCCCAAGGCTCTGGATTTCTTTTTCGATCAATGCTAAACAGAAAAGAAAGCTGATGAAATATTAACGTAGGTGAATTTAAACCAGCCCTGATATGGGGTCTATAAACATGCTAGGGACAGATCCGGACTGCATGCTAACTAAGGCTTCCATCTGTTGGTGAGCTGCAATTGATGGAAGATTCCTTAAAGGAGCTTCGGTTTGGCTCAGACACTAGGGGTTATTTCCTCTGCAGGTGAGGAGGTCTGGATTCCACTTACTGGGCTCGACTGGAGCACCTTCTCAGGAGCTAAAGAGCAGCAGGGGTGGGAGCCCAGGCCAGGAGGAAGCACGAATGTCCTCGCCCACAGGACCAGCAGGAGGGCTGGGCTCGGCTGCTGCAGGGGGTGAACCGCGGGGTCCCCGGTCCCGCTCCCAGAGCTGCCCTTTCCAGCCCGACGAGCTCAGTTCCAAGTTTCTCTCTTCCTCGTGTCCCAGGAAGCGTGGTATTTCACTTATTATATCCACAGCTGAGATTGGGTCCATTGCAAACAACTAAATCTACAAACTCTACTGCAATGGGAAAGATCTTTCCAGTAAACTGAAATTTTATTTTTTTAGTAAACTGAACATTTAAAATTTCATTTAAAATGATCTAAGTCTGATAGCCCCAAAGACCATTTAAGAATTTTAAATGTCAAAACTTTATCAAACTTTACTTTGCTGCCGGAGAAGAGGGAGTGGCAGTGGATGGAAGGACACTGAGAACCAAGGAACGAACTAATTTTAAGAAAATCACAATTTACAGTCTTCTGACACCAGGATGTTTTCCAGCCGTGACTCCCCTTCTCAGCTGGGCGGTTTTGTCCCGGGGGAGGGGGTGAGAGGGTAGGAAATTGATGTCATACATTTCTTAAGCTGCAGGTCCCCCAACATTTGTAAAAACGTGTCTGCGAATGATGTCTACTTACATCACATCGGGTTTTTTATTAAGGGAATAGACAGCAAAAGATGACGCTCCGCTCGCTGCCGCCGTTATGATCAACGCCAAAGGAATAAGCTAACAGAGAACATTGAATTCGTTAAATTAAGGGCAAATCCCGCTGCTTCAAAGTGAAAGGTAACAGAATATCTATGCACCACCTGCTCATCTTTAAAAATCAAAAATTGTAGCCAAGATTTTTCCATTGCTTTAAATACTTACTTCCTTATTTTTCATCAGGACTCGGAAAACCTTCATGATGACCGCAGTGTAGAATGCCAAATCTAGACTAAAAAAGATCCAAGATGTTGATGAAATTTCAGCCCCTAGGACCACACTCTGTGGGCGCCAACAGATCCAACGAACTCTCCAAGGCAGCCTGGGGCCGGCTCACCTGGGGGCGGGGCGGGGCGGGGCGAGGACGCGCGCGGAGGATGCGAACGACCACGACCTCAGCGGCCGGGCGGGCGCGCTCCTTATAAACTGACCACAACCGTCCGGAAGGGCCGGGCCGCGGCGCTCTGGTCACGGGTCGGGTCGCGGACGTGCGGGACCTGACTCGCTTTCCCCGCTCGGCGTCCGGCGCGAGAGCGCCCCCTGCAGGACGCCGCGCGCGCAGACCCTGCGCAGCCGAATGCGGGCGCCCCCTGCCGTTCGCTGCGATTATTACCCGCCCTGGCTGGGCGTTGGCGCTCCGGGAGCCCAGGGTGTGGAAGCGGGTGGAACGGAGAACACGGGGATCGCTGCTGGCCAGGGCCTGGGTGAAAACCAGCGCCCTAAAAAGGGGTCCGGAAAAGGAGCTGCAGAGCCAGAGGCAGCGAAATTAGAATTACACCCAGCAAGCCACGTTTCCCCTTCAGTGAATGCCCAGGTTGATGAACTTGTGGGAGACGCAAGGTCAGTATGGAATTTGGTCTTCCCCAGGATGACTAGCAGGCACAGCTGCCCCAAAGCCCATAATCCCTCGGGGGAGCTTCCCTTCCCCACCAGAAACTTATAGCACCTTCTCTAGCTGCTGCAACCCAGGTTTTCAGGGATGTGGAGCTATACTGCTTGGTTCCCACACACCAGGAATTAGATTTTAGTCAGCCCAGCTCAGGCTTTGTAATGAAAATATTTTATTAAATACTTTTTGCTAAAATTAATTCTGCCTACCCTTCAGTGGGTACCTAATTACCAGGTTTAGCAATTACTGGATTTGCTCCATTTTGGCAGGTCTGGGGGTACACCTTTGTCTAAGGTTATTGATGTGGCTCAGAAAGGAATTTCCGCTCAATGCACAGGGAAAACTATACTTCCCAGGTGCTTAGAAACTGAAGTATTTTAATTTTCTCACCACTATTAAGAACAACTCTTGGAAGCTGTCCAGAGCCATCCTCAAATCAGATTAAAACGGAGTCAACGCCGACAGATTGGTGGTGGTTACCAAAGGGGAAGTGAGGTGGGGGAGGATGAGAGGGTAAATATATGGTGACAGAAGGAGACTGGGCTTCTGTGTTGAGCACACAATACAGATGTTTTATAAAGGTGTACACCTGAAATTTATGTTACTAACCAATATTATCCCAATAAACTTGGGATGTGGGGGGGAACGGAGTCAAAGAAATCCTTAGTCTGACATCATCATTTATTGAGTATTTTAATGAGAGAGAAAACATGGCTTTTGTCCTCAGGGGGCTTCCAAAGTTCTGATGAGACATTTTCACATCAAAATTCAGCTTCTAACCAAAGTATGGGTACCAGACTTCCAGACTGACACTAAGAACTTTTTCTAGAAAAAAAAAGGGGGGGAGGGGGCACGGCCTCCAGCTAGCGCCTGAGGGAGGGGTTCCAGCCAGGGGTGGCAAAGGCTCAATGCTGCCTTGTCCTATAAAACCAATACGGATGGAGAATATGAATGAAAGCTGTCAGAATTCTAAGTTTTCTAGGTATTTCCCGTACTACTCAAAAGTGAGGGGTCAGGTTGTTAGAATAACTTGGATGGATTATATGCCTATAAATAATTATTCCCCAAATAGTGAGGTTTGGCTTAATCAATGTGTCCTGGCTTCAATCAGAAATAGAAAATTTTCCAACTTAACATTCATGACTTCATATATTTCATGCACTACGCTCTGATCACACCCTTAACTCCTTTTGGTTGTATGTAACTTCCTGCATGATCTGTCTGAGACCCATGCTCCCAGCTGCCATGTCTGTCTCATTTGCGTATACTTGTGAGTGAAGAAAGGCTCAGTGAGATGCTTACCTGATATTGTTAGATGAGAAAAACAAGTTACATAGCAAACCATGTCTTATCTATGCATCCATAAGGAACTGGAAGTTTAATACTCAAGTGTTTTCTTTGTGTTCATCTGTATTTTCTAGCATTCTAATTGCTTTCATAATAATGGAAAATAAAGATGTATACATAATCTACCTCCTTAAAAATACTTATAAAAGGAAAAATAGTAGCTATACGTGGAGAAACTCAATAATTCCATAAACAAGTGGTCAAAATGAACATGATCTCTAAGGACACAGCACTTACATACTGCTCACTGGTAAGGCAGAGCCTGAATCTATCATGGTGCCATATCAGACAAACAAAGATCAGGAAGCATCTTCTTACCTAATAATAGACAAACATGGTAACTGACCATACCTTCGCTATGCCTCCCATTGGCTAATCAGCAAGATATGCAAATTAACTGCCAACAAAGATGGCGGCCAACAGCCATGGAGCTGGAACGAGCAGGAGGCTTGCTTGCTCCATGGATGGAGGAAGCCAAGGTTCCCCGCCTGCCATGGCCTGGCTCTGAGCTCTGAAAGCAACAAAGTTTCAATTATAGAAGCTAAACAAACCCCAGATACCTGCTTTCAGTGGCTGTGGCCACAGAGCTGGAGCGCAGGAGGCTTTCTCTCCCACCCGCCCTGGCCAGCTCTAAGCTCCTCTCAGGCAACAAAGTTTCAATTATAGAAGGTAAATAAATCCCAGATACCTACTTTCAGCCGGCGTGGCCACTGAGCTGGAGCTTTGGGTTGCCCCCTGGCAATGGAGGAAGCCAAGCCCTGGCCCCAGGCTACAAAGTTTCAATTACAGAAGGTAAATAAATCCCAGAAAAAAAAGAAAAGAAAAAAAGGAGAGGCTGGGAGCTTCTGTCGCTGGGGAGGCTTGGCCAGCCTGAAAACAGCCCTCAGCCCTTCACCCAGATTGGCCAGGCACCCCTGTGGGGACCCCCCCACCCTAAAGGTGGTGTGGCCAGCCTGAAAACAGCCATCAGCCCCTCACCCAGGCTGGCCAGGCACCCCAGTGGGGACCCCCACCCTTCAGGGCAAACCAGCCAGCCCCCACCCATGCACCAGGCCTTTATCCTATATAATAAAAGGGTAATATGCAAACTGACCCTAACAGCAGAAAGACTGGGAATGACTGGTCACTATGACACACACTGACCACCATGGGGCAGACGCTCAATGCAGGAGCTGCCCCCTGGTGGTCAGTGCGCTTCCACAGTGGGAGCTCTGCTCAGCCACAAGCCAAGCTGATGGCTGCCAGTACAGTGGCAGTGGTGGGAGCCTCTCCTGCCTCCTCAGCAGCGCTAAGGGTGTCCGACTGCAGCTTAGGCCTGCTCCCCGCTGGCAAATGGACATCCATCCCCCAAGGGCTCCCTGGCTGCCAGAGGGATGTCTGATTGCCAGCTTAGGCCCAATCCCCCTGGGGAATGGGCCCAAACCAGCAGGTGGTCATCCCCCGAGGGGCCCCAGACTGTGAGAGGGCACAGGCCGGGCTGAGCCCTCCCTCCCCCCAGCACAAATTTTTGTGCACCGGGACTCTAGTTGTTCTATAAAACAATTTGTACTCTTCAAAAAATGCCAAGGTCAAAAAAGACTGAGGAACTGTTTCAGATTAAAAGAGGCTAAAGAGTAAAGAGAGAGCCCAGCTGACGTGGCTCAATGGTTAAGCATCTACCTGTGAACCAGGAGGTGGCTGGTTCGATTCCTGGTCAGGGCACATGGTTGCAGGCTCCATCCCCAGTAGGGGTGTGGAGGAGGCAGCCGATCAATGATTCTCTCTCATCATTGATGTTTCTATCTCTCTGACCCTCTCCCTTCATCTCTGAAATCAATAGAATATATAATAAAAGAAAAAAAAGAGTAAAGAGACAGGATGACTAAGTGGAGCATAGGGTCCTAGACTGGATCCTGTATGACTACTGGCACAATGGAGGAAAATCATGGGTCAATAGATTAATATATTGTATCAATGTTCAATTTCCTGAATTTGATAAGTGCACTGTGGTCATAAAGAAAATACCTTATTTGTAAGAAATATGCACTGAAGTATTAAGGGGATGAAGGGGCATTAGGTATAATACCTATTCTTAAACACAAGCATACCTTAGATATACTTCAGATTCGGTTCCAGACCACTGCAATAAAGTATCACAATAAAACGAGTTGTAATCTTTTTGGCCCTGACTGGTTGGGCTGAAAGGTCCCAGGTTCGATTCCAGTCAAGGGCATGTACCTTGGTTGCGGGCACATCCCCAGTGTGGGGTGTGCAGGAGGGCAGCTGATCGATGTTTCTCTCTCATCGATGTTTCTAACTCTCTATCCCTCTCCCTTCCACTCTGTAAAAATCAATAAAATATATTTTAAAAAAACACACAAAAAAACCGAGTTGTAATCTTTTTGCTGGTGGAGGGTCTTGCCTTCAATTTGTAAAAAATGCAACATCTTCAACATCTTGGGAGCGTAATAAAGCAAGGTGCAATAAAAATGAGGTATGTCTGCTCAGCATATAGCAAAATGTTAAAAAATGGTGAATATGGGTTAAGAATATACGAGTTGTTTGTGCTATTCTTGCAACTTTTCTCTAAGTATGAAATTATTTCAAAATAAAGTTTAAAAAGCAATCAACCAAAACCAAACAAAAACAACCACCCCACTACAAAATCAACGTAATATATATATACTTTCTTTCTAAATTATGGTATTTTAATATACCTTTTAGAACTAAGATGAATCTTGGCTTATCAGGCACAAGATTGTTCGATTTTTTTTATTTACAGGAAATACCTTATATACAAACCCTAAAAGTGAATTTGCAAACTATAGTGCAAGTTCACATTTTAATTGATACTTGAGCAGGCATGTAATTTTTAAACATCCTCTAAGTTAGAAAATCCTTGTTTCTGAAATAAGTTTTATGGTTTTTAGAAAGTGCTCCTGTTTCACTGTGGTTGCTTCTAGTCCATCTTCTTGCAGAGCCAGCAAGGCAGCCTATAAGAGACAATAAGAGATAAGTTGCTCCATTTCTGTTTTGTAATATATAAAGTCCGAATGCAAAAATCTCAGTCATATTTCATAGAATTCCAGTATCCATGACAATAAGAACATCAAGCTAAAAAGTTAATGATTGAAAGTCCTCCTAGAACTTTTCTTCTACATTAAACTCTGGCCTTAAATAGGAAAAAAAGAAAAAGCAAACTGCAAAATAATATATACATTATGAGCCCATTTACATATTTAAAGATGAAAGACTATCTTCTTGACCTCAGACTAGGAGTTTCTGAACAGGACACAGCACTGACCATAAAGGAACAGATCAAATACATACTTTATGACCCAACAATTCTCTTTATAGATATATACATACATGAAACACACATATATACACATGTATACCAAGATTGTTCATAGCAGCATATTTCATAATAGCAAAATAGCAGTAACCTGAATGTTCACGAGTGCTTTCCTTAGGGATAGAGAGTGGGAAGGCCCAAGAAAGGCTTCTGGGAAGTTGCTAATATTCTTTCTTAACTTGAGTGGCAGATATACAAGTGTGTTCACTTTATGTTAATTCAATGAACTGTATCCTTATGATCTGTGCATCCTTCTGAATGTTATATTCTATAGAAGTTTATGGAAAGAATATATGCACCCCTATGTCCCTTGTAGCATTATTTATAACTAATAAATAGTGGCCAGATGTACGAATTTGTGCACATTGAAAGGAAATTAATTAGAAGGAATATTTTAATATCGCTATTTGCTCTTGCTCTATAATAGAAGTGTCAACCAAATTCACGATCAACAATGCAACATGCATGCGACTGGCACCAGCAAGAGCTTTATATGTATCGTGCATGTGCGAGTCAACTTAGCCTTTTATATATGGTCTATATAGAACAAACTTGTTTAATCATACCAGCTTTCTGATTTTGCTAAACCTTTTCCAGCCCAGTGAAGCACCCCAACTTCTCTTTCAGGTAATTGTCAGCAACACAGCAGTAAATATCAACATGAAGCATATTATTATTGCAGATCACGCAGAGAGAACAAAGGGTAAAATATTTAACTGTAGCAGTATCTGACTATATTCTGCACAGTGAGAAAACCTGAAGTCATTTTCAAGTTCCACCATTTCTTACTTCTTTTCAGTCGGGTCAAGTTTCTAAGCTTTCTAAATCTGTTTTCCGGCTAATGAAAAGAAAATAGGATTCTACTGAGTCTCCTATCTACTTACTCCAGGACTTCTGTGAGGATCAAATGAGATGAGGCACGGGAAAATGCTTCACAGACATTTGGTTAAACTGTAAAATGTTTCCACCTGGGTATAAAGTGTCATGTTTCTGGACTGCAGAAACTCCAAGGAGGCTAGTCACTAGGGAGAGGAAGCCGGGCGTTGCTACATGATGTCATTACCCGGCACCCACAGCCACCATTTCCAGCTGGGCTGGGGTGTGGGCCACATTTTGCGCCATGGGGTCTCGGCAGCATCAGCTGCGATTTGGTGGGCTGTCACTCCAGGGTGGTGGCAGGGCCTGTGTCCCACTTGGGGGGAGCCGAGTATTGCTTTGTGGGCGCCAGGTCCACGGTGCCATTTCTCTGTAAATGGACAGTGTGCGTCACGGCAGCTCCTGCATTGAGCGTCTGCCCCCTGGTGGTCAGTGTGTGTCATAGTGACTGGTCGGGCAGTCGGACACTTAGCATATTGGCCTTTTATATACATAGGTAGCCAAGGTATGGAACAATTCAAATGCCCATCCAGAGAACAAGTAGATAAAAAAGCTACAGTGCACACATAGAATGGAATATTACTCAACAATAAATAATAAAAAAAGAAATCCTACCATTTGTGACAACATGGATGGACCTAGTGGGTATTAAGTGAAATAAGTCAGGCAGAGAAAGATTAAATACCATATGATTTCACTTATATGCAGAATCTAAAGAAGAAAATAAATGAACAAACAAAATTGAAATAGACTCATAGATACAGAGAACATACTGGGGGTTGTCAGAGGGGAGGGGGTTTGGGGCACTCGGTGAAAAAGGTAAAGGGATTGAGCAGAACAAATTGAGAGTTACAAATCAGTCATAAGGATGTAAATTTAGTACAGCACAAGGAATACAGTTAATATTATAATAACTATGTATGGTGCCAGGTGTGCCCTGAAAATATCGAAAAGACCACTTTGTAAAGCATAATCGTCTAACTTGGAACTAATACAAAATAATATTGAATGTAAACTGTAATTAAACAATAAAATTAAAATATTAATAAAAAAATTATTAACAAAATTCATGGGAAGGGAAAACTGGACAATGGCTTCTTTTGCCCTAAAAATAAAGTCTAAATGCCTTAAAGTGTCTTATAATGACCTGAGTGATCTAGCCACTGTCCACCTTTTCAATAACGTCATTACTTATCTCCAATTGTCTGCATATTTTATTCCCTCTGCC